ATTAGTATATCTACTGCTTTTATACACCCCGAAACATGGTTGATGTCATAGACAACAAGTTTCTTGAGCAAGGGGTCGCATTTGAAGACAAATATGCTGAGAGTTTTAACCAAATGGTAAAACTCTGTATATGTAATCTGGATAAATTAGGTGTTATTTGATTAATTATTTTTGTATATGCATGACTCTATTAATGTATCTTTTGAAACAGGTAGAATGATTTGCAACGTACTGCAAAAAAGTCATACATCCAGCTGGAAGAATGAGCAAGTGGATCCCCAATGTCCTAAATATGCCATGGAGATACAATGGAAACCACGTTGACTGACATATTTGTCATGCGTCATATGGAAACATATCGTGGATAGGGAGAGAACTGGGATGTAGGATTTCCAAGTGCCGATACAAGTGAAGGAATAAAGGCTCAAACTGAAATCTTGCAGAAACTCAGACTTGTGTATGTAGCAGAATTTCTGATGTCCAAATTTAACAAGCTAAGGGATATTGTTTTCAAAAATGCAAAAGAGTTCTTGAAAATGTAAACATTTATGATTGTGGGGAAATACATTAATTGGAAAGGGAAGATGAGGAAGTTATCTAAAACTTTTGTTGATTTGTGGTTGTAATTAATATTTATCAGTAACTGCTATTGTTGTTCTTTGACAAGTTATGATTGAAGTTATGATTGATTGGTACTTTATGGTAATAGTTGACGTAAAGTGATCATCTACCTCAGATAAAGAGGTTATCTTTGGGCATAATTGGTTGTTTAAGTTCTTCTGAATAATGTAAATTTATTCAATCTTTATGTACTTTGTGTCTTAGTATGTGACTCGAACCAACTAGAGTAGATTGTTCTAGTGCTTGTGAATGATTAACATCACTTAATAGTTATGTAACCTTTGTATAATAATATGTAGCTTGTGTGTCTTAATATGTAACTTGTGAATTATGGAACAACAATAATTTATGTAACTTTAATAAATCAGTATAAATAAAAGCTCACGTAATGTAAATCCACTAATCAAACAATGTAACCAGAGGCAAGATGTAATGTAACTCACACTGAAACTTTATTGATAAACTAAGTCAAGTGTAACAACGAAAGACTAATGTAAACAAAGACTATATGAAATGTAAACAACATTACTAATAAATGTAAAACGCGTATACAAAGATGTAACTAATACAAAACTGCATAGCCATTGTTCAAACAGCTTGCATTAAGACTAATACAATATACTAAATTTGCACTTGATTCCCAACATTTGGATGCACAAAGTATGAAGTGAAAACTTGTGAAGATCCAAACATAGGCATCAAAGAAGTCATTTCTCCATCTGGATGAGCAAGATAACCATGTGGAACCATGCAATTAACAGTCCCCTGTTATAAAAAAGGAGAAAGATTGTCTCACGAAAAGTGCAACAATATAAAAAATTAAAAGAAATACTCCCTCCGTCCCAATTTATAAGACACTTTACGATTTACGATGTTTGACCGACGATAAAGCAAATTAATCCCTGTCAACACTCAAATTAGTTTTAGAAAATAAAATTTACATATTCAGAAACTACATTAAAACCATTACAAAACCTACGAAAAATAATTCAAATTGCATAAACTTTTGAAATATAAAATAAAAGATTGAAAGTGATTTATGTTGACCAAGTGAATAGTAAATGTATCTTACAATTTGGGACTGAGGGAGTATATAAATATACTTGTAAGACAGATTGGGCAACAAGTTTTGAATTAGATGAAACTTGCTGGGATTTGGACGTGCGAGCTTTGATTATTTGGCCTTGTTTTTCAACATTGCTTTTCTTTCGCGTGTTTCGCTGACCTTTAGGACGAGAACGTGGAAGATCCAATATGGTCCTCGATTCATAAGCAGATTCATCTCCAGCAGTGCAGCGTTTCTGAATATCTAAGAAGTTTTTAATAGAATCATAACCTTGCTCACATACTTGCCTAGCTTCAGGAATACTAGCACTTGAAATAATATTGTGTTGAATTTCCTAGTCATTTGAAATAATATTGTGTTGAATTTCCTAGTCATTTTCCCAAACGGAGTATCGAGTGCTTCAATCTGAGAACAACTCATATTTGGCAATATAGCAGCCTTTATCCACCTAGACATTATATAAGCTCGGGGAATACATTTCACACAATGAACGTTATATATGCAAAATGTGTCTACTAAGAATGCTAACTTCTGAAAACATCTTACAAGTGCATGTCACTGTGTTGTCATTTCCATTAAAAATAACGATGTGTCTAATCAAATCTACACCGTTCAACCAAACATGATACCCACAATCATGACAATTGTATGTTACTAATTTAAAAAAATGTGACATACCCTTCAAATATTGTTCTTGGAACAGTTTGAAAATCTCAAGGATATACACATCTCTAGCATGAGATAACAAACTATCTTGCAGCAGTACCATCTCAACCGTGCCTTTTGAACATATGAAATCTTGACCATTTTCCCCTGACATTCATTCCTCAACAACATCACAAAACATTTTGTAGAAGTTACACAATGTTGCAGTTTTTGAGAGTTTGCTAGATATGGATCTATTTGTAGATTCACTTCTTTGGGAGGATAGAACGCCGCCAGAGAAATAATCCTTTGAAAATGCAGGACACCACTTTTTTTTTTATGGCTGTAGAGCTTTCTCAACCATTTATTGCCATTGCACTTATACACTCTGTTCAACCTGAAACCAATTAAAAAACCAATACAATGTTACATATAAAACCAACACAGGTTACACAAATGTAATACAGAAGTTACACCAAATAAATAAGAAGTTATAGTAGAATACAAATTGCTTACTCAGTCCAATAGAAATCAAACTCTGCAACAGTGTCACATCATTTAACAACACAATCAAATAAAGGCACAAAGTTCATCTTCTTGCGTAGAAACATGATGTGTTTCTTGGAATTTTCATCTATATACCAAGTGCAAAGTCTGTGTTTTACGTCTGGAAAAACAGATTTGATAGCTGCTGCCATGGAAAATGACTGGTCTGTCATGAAAGTGATGGGGTGTTTACCACCCATAGATTTCAGGAAAGTATGAAATAACCAAACAAAAGATTCCACCTTCTCATCGAGCATAAAGAAACAACCAAACATTATGTTTTTACAATGGTGATTCATACCAACAAAAGAACCACAAATCATGTCATACTTGTTAGTCTTGTAAGTTGTATCATGAATAACTACATCTCCAAACCTATCGTAACCCGATTTCATTTACCCATCTCTCTAGAAAAACAACTCAGGATATAATCATCCAGATCAAAATCAAAGAAAAAATCAGATTCTACTTCAGCCCTTTTCTTCAATATACCAATCAAAGTGTTCGAATCAGTGCCATCAAATGTTTTACTCCTTTCAGATTCTAAAACGTTATAAGGATCACGTTTGGTAAATCCAAGAGAACTAAAACCACTAGATTGTTTTTGAAGCACCGTGTGAATATCGAAAACCTTTGTCTCACTCTCCTTCATCAACATAATAAACTCAAGATACTCACGATCAACACCTCTATGTGATTTCAGCATTTGTCTTTGACCAATGAGACAAAAAGCATGGTTGTGATCAATAATGTGCTTCGAAACAGTCCACACCATCAACACTAATAGAAAACTGTAACTTCGCTTTACAACCTGAATGATAATCTAACTTCGTATACGGTTTGTTTTCAGTTTCCTTTGTAGTTTCTTCCTTTCTTTCCAACAACAGGATGACTTAATACTCAAACTTACATTTCCACTCCTAAACCTCTGTTTGTATCTACGAATACCAAATCCATTTTCAAAAGCATGATTTTTGTAAAGATTATAAGCATCCTGTTCACATTTGACACTAAATCCAACACGTGATTTACTCTCGGTTGCTTGATCAACAGCTTCCAATGTATGTGACAATTTAAAAAGTGACATATCAAAACAAACAACAACTGCATACAATGAAGAGATAGCTAAACAGTAGTTACACATGATTTAACAAAAGTTACACATTACTAAACAGAAGTTACATTCTATTCAACTGAAGTTACATGACATTGAACTAAACTTAACAGAACAAAATTGTATCACATGACAAAAAAAGTACCTCTACTGAGAAGATATAACAATTTAGAAACCCTTGAACAAGTATTTTCTTCTCCTGAACCTAAAACACAAAATTCAACAAATATGAATACTACAATCCAAATTCTAACACCAAATTATAAAACAGAGAACAAAAAACAGCAGATCATAGACATCATACTGCACACACAAACAAACGAAATTCATACAACTCAAAACATTAAATACTTACCATCGAATTCAACATCAATTGATTGATCAAATTCCAAATTATTATCACCAGTTGAATGAATGTCGAAATCGAGTATATTAGAAGGTAAAGTATCGCGCAATTCAGTCCAAGAATTCACAAGAACAGAATCAACGACAGAAAAATCAGAGACGAGAATCGAATCCTAAAAATGATAGAGTAGAGAAGAGTTCATTAATGTTGAACTGCGGAGAAACTAGTGCTACTAAATCAGTTGATGTCAAGACGGGGAACCTAATTTTTTAATAAACTAACCACACCTTTTTGGGATGGGGCACACGGTTGCGTAAGCTGGGCCGATCCACTTTATAAATTGCCCTCCTCAGAGGCCAGGCCTGCAACCCGGCATTACACGCTCTCACGGTTTCATCATTCGCCGATTCAGTGCTTCCCAGATTCTCCGGCGGTGGAGTATACATATATATAATCTGTGTCCGTAGGTGATTCGAAAGAGAGCCTGAGTATAGTATGCAGGGTTACTCTGTAAGCGTAAGTTCACGCAAAGCTCCCAACTTTTTCCAAATTTATCAGCACCCAAGGGCTCCAATACACTCTTATCTTCTATCTTTCATCGCTTCCAAATTGAACCCATCCCGCATTAGGATTCCTCCTACTCGTGTTTCCGTCACTCCTTATCGCCGAGATTTAGCTATACTCAAGGTAATTTTTACTATCCACACCGGAACAGTCCTTTATATTTCGAATTCCAAATCCCTGAAATTGATTGTCTTGAGATTGGGCTTTTCAGTTAGCAACTTATGAATTGGAGTAAATAGTTTATGAATTGGGGTTAAATCTCTTAACACCCAAAATGAATTAACTTCATGCTTTAAAATTATGCCATAATTAGTACTATATGTTGTTATTATAGAAGGCGTAGATAGAGAATTAGTGTGGTTGACTTTGGGTGTTACTGTGTTAGGTTCATGCAACTGCTGCGGAGACTGAACAGCCGAAATGGTGGGAGAAGAGTGCCCCAAATATGGTTGACATCCACTCTGCAGAAGAATTTTTAGATTCTTTAAGTAAAGCTGGAGATAGATTAGTTATTGTTGACTTTTATGGTACATGGTGTGCTTCTTGTCGAGCATTGTTTCCCAAGGTGAGTTCTTTCCTTGCCTCTCACTCATCCTGACATTGATTGTATGCAAACATTATACTGTACATTTATAAAGACTTTTTTTTGTAAATAAATGCTTATTAGGATTTTCCTGTAATTGTATTAAAATAGATCTCAGTAATCTCAGACATAAATGTGATTACCTTGTCATTATAGTGTTAAAGTCAACATAACCATGGTCATTAGAGTCAATAAAAACACTAGTAGGGTAAAAACAAAACAAAGTAACATGGTCATCAGGGAGTCACAGCAAAAATGCTACTATGGTAAAAAAAAGTCACATTTTGGTCCATCGCTTTTAATTTAGTCATAGATTTGTCATTATTTCATGCTTATTTCCTGTACCCTGTTGATCAGCTTTGCATGATCGCTGAAGAACAACCGGAAATACTTTTCTTAAAGGTGAATTTTGATGAGAACAAGTCATTGTGCAAAAGCTTAAATGTTAAAGTGCTTCCATTTTTCCACCTCTATAGAGGAGCCAATGGCCTTGTGGATTCTTTTTCTTGCTCTCTTGCCAAGGTACTGCAATTTGAGCCATGTGTATTTAATACTCCGTATGTTACTTTCACTGTGAGGGGTCATCCCGCCATTTAGAGCATGTTTCGATACATTTGGAGAAGGGGGAATGCAAATTTCTTATAAGAAGATGCTCTTTTGGTTTGGTAGTAGAACAGCGGAAACTATTAAATCAAGATTTTCACCAAAAAGAAAATAATTTGTTAAAATGAATAGAGCACTAATAGTGTTCGCTTGTTTAATTTTAATAATTAATACTGAATTACAAATAACAATGTATGTCAAGAGATGCAGCCATTAGGTCAAGCTAAGGTCACTTGAAATTATTGGTCGACCTGGCCCAAGTTCCGGACTGAGACCAGTCGTTAAATGGTCATGACCAGACCATTTTTCAGTCACAAACCAGAACTGGTACAGAACCAGTTCAAATCAAATCTGTTTTAGTTCTGGTTCCTCCAAATCCCGTCCGGATTGACTGGTTCATGTTTCTGTTTTTTTAAGATGGGTAAAAAATGCGTAGGAACCAAACCAGATGGCTTCCCTCCACCATGAACGGAACCGGGGGGTGCACGGTTATGGTTCCTCCCTATCATGACCTGTAATCTTACTTCTTACCTGCTCCACCCTTTCCGCGACCTGGAATTGGACCTACTCCACTCCTATTTCGAATTGGAAGGTGAAATTGTTGCTCCGTAGCACATAAATAAGAAGTTTGCTTCCCATAATTTAATGTATTAAATACACTCTGCAGCTCCAGAAATTAAAGTATGCAATTGCAACATACAGTCCAGAGAATTTGCTAAAAGACATAGATGATGAAAGTCACAACTTTGGTGGAATATCTGCATCTCATAACAACACGCCATCTGGATCTTCTTCTCCAGTGTAGAATCTTGCTGCAAGGACTGTTTCGGTGATATGGCATGGACTCCCAGCCAGCTTCTGTGAATTGTCTGCATCATCAAACAATCTATCATCTTGTATTTCCCGAATGTTTAATTATCATCAGATTTCATAGTTTTACAGAAGATGAGTGGCTTCTGGTTTGAGTTCTTTGTACATAACTGTTCTTTACAGTGAAGTTGGCACTGTAAATTTGATCATTCTTTCGTAATTATTTTCTTTTAAGACACAACTTCATTTCTATACTATATGAAATCTGTCTATATTGTTTCATAGTCCTTCCGTCCCATTGGATTTTGTCAACTTTTCTTTTTTGTTTGTCCCAAAAAACTTTGGCACTTTCTATTAAAACAACTAATTTGTGGTTCTACACATTTCTCTCTCCGCTGCATAAATCTCAACCACACAGTTTTTACTATTCTTATTTCTCACCTACTTTGTAATAGTGAAATAATTAGAAATTAATTATTAGTCAGTTTCCTTATTGTATTTGGACACTTATTATCTATAAATATACACTCAGGGCTACCAGTCTGGGAAAAGCCTATTCATTATTCTCACATTGTATCAAGAGTCAAAATTATAACCTAATTTTTTTTTCTCTCATGGCGCCGACTTCCGCCGCCTCTACTCCAACTACAGCGCCGTCTACGACGGCAGCACCGCAAGGCATGGCAGTGCCCGTCACCGTGGCAGCGCCTAATCCAGTGACTATGCCGAACACGTATTCTCCGGCATCAGCTTCGACTTCTCTGACATTCGGCTCCAACTCTGACCTGGCGCAGCCCTCGTTTTCCGCTTCGTTGCCGACCGGTCATCCGGATATTCATGATGCGGCATGGATTCCACCTACTTTTGATTGGTCCTCTCCAGCAACAGCACGACGCCCTCTTCGGTTGGAGGCTGATGTACAGCCGCTTCCGTGAACTAAGTTTGGAGACCCCACATTCGTCGGTGCACATGGGCTGGCTCCACCTCCTGTTTTTCGGCCAATAGGCAGGACGACAGTCACCCAACAGAACTCTTTGGAAGCAATTGCACAGTCTATGGGGTTTTCGACACCGAATGTCACCAATATTGTTACTACAAAGCTGGATGCTATCGAAGATTATCTACTCTGGCGTACTCAGTTCGAGTCTTTTCTGGTATCACATGGACTCCTAGGCTTTCTCGATGGTACTATTGCTACCCCTCCTCAATTTATTTTTGATGCTTTACGTAGAGAAGTTGTGAACAATGAGTACTATTATTGGTTAAAGTTAGATCAGACAGTTCGTTCTTGGCTGTTTGCTACTCTATCTCGTGATATACTTGTTGAGGTTCATACTCTACGCACTTCTGCTACCATCTGGGAACGTCTAGAATCTCGCTTTATGGCAGCCAATATGGCCCGTTCTATGGAATTAAAACGCTTGTTCACTACGACTAAAAAGAAAGAAAATCAATCCATGGAACAGTACATGCGTGAAATTCAGAAAATTGTTGATGCCTTGGCCACAATTATTTCTTCTGTCTCCATGAAAGATCTTCTTGAGCAAACTTTACTAGGTTTGGGTCCGGATTATGAGTCCATTATCACTACTTTGACTACTTTTCCCGAGAGCCTTACTTTTGACAAATTACGGACCAAGCTAGTTGAGCAGGAGAACCGCCTCGCCTATCTCCGTTCTCAAGAGGCTCCTCCATCACCTGCGGCGTTTGCTACTCAACCTCATCCTCAAGCTCACGCTGGTTCAGGACAAGAAGCCCGTGGTGGTGCACAGTTTGCTCGGGGTCACGGCAGGAGAGGTCGCGGTCGGGGATCTCGCGGCAGAGGCCGAAATTATGACCAACATGGTTACGGCCAACCACCGTTTGGTCCACCTGGGTAAGGACAACAACCGTATGCCCCACCAGGATACGGACATCAGGGGTACGGTGGACAGCAGCGTTCGGAACAACAGGCAGCGGGCGGCTACTATCCACACGGGCACTATTCAGCCTCCACATCTCACGGACGTCCAGGTTCAGGTTTATGTAATTCGATATTTTCATCGTTAAATGCGCATCCCTATTTTGTTTATGGTACTAACCATGGCTATGCAGGCTCACCTTTAGTTGATGGACAGTTTGGTTTCATTCCACCGCCAGTTGTTTGTCAAATTTGTTATTCCCCAGGTCATTCTGCAGTTTCATGTCCTTCCCGTTTCACTCAGCCCACTGCTCCAGCTCTTGCTGCACCCATGGGTGATGCTAATGACGCTGTCTGGTTTCCAGACTCCGGTGCTTCTGCGCATATGACCGCTCAGGAAGGTAACTTAGTTAATAAATCTATTTATTCTGGACCACTTAATTTTACTGTTGCAAATGGCACTAGTTTACCCATTAAAAATATTGGTGATATTTCTATTAATTCTCTTTCAAGGCCTCTCCATTTAAGATCTGTTTATCACGTTCCTCAAATAAAGTATAATTTATTATCCATCCAAAAATTATGTTCTGACAATAATTGCATGGTTATTTTTGACAAAAATTCTGTTTTGCTCAAGGACAAAACAACGGGGGCAACTCTTCTCAGAGCTTCTAGTAGCGACAGTCTTTATCCCATTCGTTTATCTTCTTCATCAGCTTTGGCTTTAGTTTCTAGCGCGGCGCCTGGACCACTGTGGCATCATCGCTTGGGACATTGTGGTAGTCGAGTCTTAGATGGTCTTAAAAAGTCTGGTCAACTTTGTAGTTTGTCTTCTTTTAATCATGATTGTTCTTCGTGTAGATTGGGTAAATCACAGAGATTACCCTTTCAGGATGTTTTTCATAGTGCTAGTAAACCGTTATTTTTAATACATTCTGATGTTTGGCAATCTCCTGTTTTATCTACATCTGGGTTCAAGTATTATGTCTCTTTTATTGATGATTTTTCTCGTTTTACTTGGATCTACCCCATGCGTCGTAAAAGTGAAGTCTTTCATCATTTTCAATCCTTCAAAAATTCGATGGAGAATTTATTAGATCATAAAATTAAAATTTTTCAAAGTGATGGAGGGGGTGAGTTTGATAATTTTAATATGCGGTCAATTTTTAATACTAATGGAATTCTTTTTAGAAAATCTTGTCCTGATACTCCTCAGCAAAACGGTCTAGCTGAACGTAAACATAGACATTTACTTGAGCTAGCCCGGACTATGCTTATTGATGCTGGTATGCCAGCCAGGCAGCCACCTTTTGGGTTGAGGCAATTTTGACTGCTACTTTTATTATCAATGGCATACCCTCCACAAAATTTACAGGCCTCTCTCCTTATCAAAAATTATTTCACCGGATTTCTGACTTCTCTTTTATGCGTGTGTTTGGATGTGCATGTTATCCGAATTTTAATGCCACATCAGCCAATAAATTATCTCCTCGTTCTGTTCAGTGTGTTTCTGGGATATGCCTCTGAATACAAGGGCTATCGTTGTTTAGATCCTAAAACTGGTAGGGTTTATATTAGTCGTCATGTTAGGTTTTTTCACGAAGACATTTTTCCCTATTCTCAATTAGTGTCACAAAGTCTCCCTGAGGTCTCCCCGCTGGATTTTTCCTTAGAAACCGGCTCATCTCATTCGATGCATGCCTCTTCACCGACATCAGCTTCTTCGGCTCGGCAGCTACCTTCGCCGACGGCTGCTCCGTCTTCCCCAGCTTCGCCGGCAAGCACTGCTTCTGTCGAATCTTCGCAGGTTGGCGGTGGAGAGGTTACTCATGTTCCGGTTTCAGGCACTTCCTTGACTCAAAATATTCATCCCATGCAAACTCGCTCTAAATCAGGAATTTTCAAACCCAAAACTATTTTTAATTTGAACACTGAGGTTTTGGTTCCTGATCCAACTTGTTTTTCTATGGCTAATAAGGATCTTAAATGGAGAGCAGCTATGGCTGAGGAATTTAATGCACTTATCGCTAATAAAACGTGGGATCTAGTACCGTTTGACTCTAGCAAAAATTTGGTTGGGTCTAAATGGATTTATAAAACTAAATATCGTTCTGATGGCTCTATTGAACGTCATAAAGCACGTCTGGTTGCCCAAGGGTTTAAGCAACAAGCTGGGGTGGATTTCTCTGAAACTTTTAGTCCTGTTGTTAAACCCACCACAGTTCACATTGTTCTTACATTAGCTGTTTCCTTTAATTGGCCTATTCGTCAGTTAGATGTTAAAAATACTTTTCTCCATGGTCATCTCACAGAAGAGGTTTACATGCGTCAACCACCCGGGTTTGTTCATCCCAATTCCCTAATCACATTTGTCGCTTGCGCAAGGCCATTTATGGTCTTAAGCAGGCTCCCCGGACATGGTTTCATCGGTTCAGTAGTTTTCTCCTCACTCATGGATTTGTATGTAGTCGTGCTGATAATTCCTTGTTTATTTTTCGTCAGGCTACACGAATCATTTATTTGCTCTTATATGTGGATGATATTATTATCACTGGCAGTTTGATGAAACGGTTAGCAACACAAGGGGGGGGGGGGGGGGGGGGTGAATTGTGTGTGTGTGGAACCGTGGCAGTTTTTCGCACAGTTCTAGTGTGGGGTTCAGGGAATTACGAAATAATAAAGTGCACAAGGATTTAACGAGGAAAAATCCCTTGGCTCAAAGGGATTAAAAAACCTCGACCTCCCTCGGAGGAATTTGAACAACTTCACTAAAAAGCCTTTGAATGATTACAAGGGAAACTCTCCTAGTCTACCCTTGAGCCACCCCAACTCTATCCTCTCTAGGAAGAGTTATGCTTCTCTACCTTGTGGGTAGAGAGCCTCTCAGCTTTACAACAAAGCTCTCACAACACACTAATTAACCCGAGGATGCTACACTTAGTCAATCCTCAAAAACCCAATTACAATATAAAGAAGGGAAAAAGAAACTCTGTTTGGAACTCCGTGAGCAGGTTCAGGTGCCTTGGACTTAGTAAATATTCTCGTGTATGTTTCTCAATAGAAGCTCGGTCAAGCACACCCTTTCGTCTGGTCTTCAGTCCAATATATATAGCATCCGTAGCCTCTCCTTTCCTTTTATTCAAAGATCTTCCGGCTCACAAATATGGTGATCCTCGGTCAACCATATATATATGGAAGCAAGTGGATACGTGCATACTATGAGTAAATCACTCAATAACAAAACAGATATGGAGTATATTACGTATTTAAATATTCAATGACAATTCCACATGAATATATATCATCACATATAAAGGGAAATACTTTATTCTCTTAATATAAGCATGCAAATGACATTATGTAGCAATAAAATATTTATACAATCAATGATTAGTTCTCTTAACAAATTTTAATATGCAACGATTATATAAGTAAGATATTCAAATAAGGTGCTACAGATCATGCAAGCCAAGATACTTTCCAAAAGTATTCATTTAATATTTTAACTAATAATGACTTTTCAACATTAAGTGATAAGGAAATATTTACTTAGTGGATCCAAATATGCTACGGTCAATTGATACAGGATATTTATGTAGCATAAGCAATGATTCTTTCCATAAGCTATAAAGCTATATAGGCCAACTCATTAAGGTGAGTGCTTAGTCATGTATGGAAAGATATTTAAATTGTGCCACATACATTAAGAATATGCATGATCAATCTAGGCACGTAGATAAGATATTTAAGCAATGATTCTTTCCATACTTAGTCACATAGATCAGAACTAAGTATAGTTCTAATTTTCGTTCCTAATAGAACTGAGAGCAGTTCTGTCCGCCGTTCCACCTACATGGTTAGTCATCAACAAAACAACATACTCAACAAATTCCACCTTTTTGTTGATGACAAACATTAGGTGCCATAATAAAGGTGTCCCTGCAGATTAGTAACAGTCGGTGTTTTAATGTAGCAAAACAAGCAGGCACCTGATTATTTCCCCCTTTTGGCATCAACCAAAAGGAAACAGAAAATAACCAAAACAGTGCTAAGTAAAACAGTGCTAAGTAAAATTTCAAAGTAGGACAGCTTGTTAAGATGTTAATGTAGCAAAAACCCACCCCCAGAAAAGAAATGTTTAATCATCCTCAGAAGAATAAATTATTCTTCGATTAGTCGAGCCAGATTCACAGAGCCGCTCCGCCACTTCCTGTTTGAAGGATTGGAAATCATTCCGAATAGCATTGGTTGTATCAGCCAGTGTGTCCACCTTTTTTGCCAATGCGGAGATGGAGTCTGAAAGGGAAGCAAATTGGTGTTGAATATATCGTTCCAGGAGATCTATGCGGTCAGTGATTGGGGGTACCACCATCATTGGGTCGATGGAAGGAACAAGAGTTGGTTTGGGTCTGGGTTTTTGTTCTGAAGAAGAGGGATCTGTTGGTTTAGGAAGTAGGTGAGAATTTGATATAATTAGTCCTAGATTGTTGAGACATCTCTTGTCCAGGACCTTGCAAGCTTCTTCAGAGGAGAATTTGTCTAGAGTAATGCCCTTAGATAGGAATATTTTGGTGAGTAGTGGGGCATATGGAATTCCAATCCTTCGGGATGAGGAACTTATGATAGAACTTAGATGGGCCATTATCAATCCAGGAAGGTTGATAGGAACTTTGTTGGCTAAAAGGTACATATATGCCAGTTCAACTCTAGAGGGTGTGAATCTCCCTTCTAGCCTAGGAATCAAGTTGTGATGAACAAAGTAGAACAGTAGTTTGGGAATTGGTGCAAGGCTCGCAACATGAAGAGAGGATTCGGAAATGATTGGGTTAAAATATTCCAGTGCAACTGTTTGAGAGGTGTCGGTTAGGGGCCACTCGGTTTTGTTATATTGGCATATTCCAGTGCATGGAACACCCAATATTTGACCTAGATCACTCACATTTAACAGAATTTTGGTGCCTTGTACCTTAGAGGATAAGAAACTGTCTTTGATAATAAGATTAGCCAAAAAATCTGAGATGAGTTCAGGAAACACAGAGGGGCAATTCTGGGAATCAAACAAGGTTTCCCATTTTTGGAACGAAATAAGCTCAGTAAAATCAGAGGTTTTTCGAGTAATATCACCAGAGGAGATGGAGAGTACCTTAACTATTCCTCGGGAGAGATATTCCTCCTTGAGTCGTGCGACGTCTTCCTCGACTACCCTCCCCATCCTTGGATATTTTTTGGTGGAGCTCTTTTCGGAGATGATTCCCTCAGTGATTGCTCTTTTCCGGGTGTACTTTTGGGGCAGCACTTTTCCGTCGCGAGTTGGTGGTTTTCCTTTGGGAGGTTTAATTGGTGATGGAGAGTCTTTATCTTGTTCCCCCTGATGAGAGGACGCCGGGAATGGTGGTAAGGAGTCACCAGATTCGGAGTGCATGGTCGAAGGAGGTGAGGCTTCGAGTTCAATCGGGGTAGGTGATGAAGGTGGGGGTGGTTGTACGCTTCTTTTCCGGCTAGAACGACGAGGAGCAGTTGGAGGAGCGCAGCCTCTGGTTTTGACCATGGCGGTTTTAAGAAGGAGAAGAGGGAGGAGGTTATGGAAGGTTTTTTATTTTGGAAGTGGGCGGCGTGTTGGTATACGGGATACTTTCCCACTTCCCAAATTTTTTTTAATGATTTCCTTCCAAATAGGAAGTGGCCGGTTGTGTGGCAATGTCTTCAAAAAAAATTGACAGTTTAAAAACTGAAGGATCTTGTCTCCCCTTTTTAAAAAATAAAGAATTTCTTCTTAGATTGTTTCCAAAAAAAATTTCATGGATTAGAATAGTTTTAAGCATTGATGAGACCAAGTTCAAGTCGAATTAATTCAAACCTTTCTCTTCCCAGGGGCTTTGTAAAAATGTCGGCAATTTGCTTGTCGGTGTTGCAATATTCTACCTTGATTAGCCCCTTTTCCACGCAATCTCTCAGAAAGTGATGCCGGATGTGGATGTGTTTTGTTCGTGAGTGCATGACTGGATCCTTTGAGATGCTAATTGCACTAGTATTGTCACATAGAATTGGTGTGCAATTTAGGATGATCCCGTAGTCACTTACTTGTTGCATGATCCACAAGGATTGTGAGCAACACGATGCGGCTGCTACGTATTCGGCTTCGGCTGTTGAAAGAGCAACTGAGTTTTGTTTCTTAGAGCTCCATGAAACCAGGCAAGGACCTAGGAAGTGAGCCGTTCCAGATGTGCTTTTTCTGTTTAATAGATCACCTGCAAAATCAGAATCTGAATATGCAATAAGATTAAAATCCTCATTACGTGGATACCATAAACACAGATTCATGGTTCCTTTGAGATATTTGAGTATCCTCTTGACTGCTTTGAGGTGAGATTCCTTGGGATTTGCTTGGAACCGGGCACATAGACCTACGCTGAAAACTATGTCGGGTCTACTGGCAGTTAGGTATAGTAGAGACCCAATCATTCCTCGGTATTTCTTTTGGTCTATGCTGGTTCCTGCTTCATCTGCATCCAGCCTGTCATTTGTTCCCATCGGTGTTGTCATTGTTTTGCCTTCACTTGCTCCATACTTCTTGAGAAGCTCCTTGAGATACTTTTGTTGAGATATTTGAGTTCCTTTACTTGTTTGTTTGATTTGGAGACCAAGGAAAAAATTTAATTCGCCCATCATACTCATCTCGAACTCGGAGCTCATAAGAGAAGAAAATTCATCACAAAGTGAGTCGTTAGTAGCACCAAATATAATGTCATCTACATAAATTTGAACAACCAAGAGGGATTGATCTTTTATTTTTAGAAAAAGTGTTTTATCTATTTTTCCTCTTTCAAAAGCATTTTCCAAAAGAAATTTAGATAGACGTTCATACCAAGCACGTGGTGCTTGTTTGAGCCCATACAGTGCTTTATCTAGTTTGAAAACGTGATTAGGTAAATCTGGATTTTCAAACCCCGGTGATTGTTCAACGTATACCTCTTCCTTAAGATAACCATTCAAAAATGCTGTCTTGACATCCATTTGGTGGAGGGTGAAACCCATATGAGCCGCAAACGCTATGAGCATTCGGATTGCTTCTAGCCTTGCCACCGGTGCGAATGTTTCATTGAAATCTATCCCTTCTTGTTGATTATAGCCCTTGACGACTAGCCTTGCTTTATTTCTTGTGATCTGTCCGTGCTCATCAAGCTTATTTTTAAATACCCATTTGAGACCAATTACGGTTTTATTCTTGGGTCTTGGTTCTAGATGCCACACCTTGTTTCTTTCAAATTGATTTAGTTCTTCCTGCATAGCTAGAACTCAGTCAATATCGGAGAGAGCCACTTCATGGTTCTCCGGTTCTATAAGTGATAAGTAAGCAAAGAAAGTACAGAAATTTCTTAATTTAGATCTCGTTGTTACTCCCTGATTTAGATCTGTTAAGAGGTTATCCAGGGGATGTGATCGATGATGCTTCCATCCTCTTGGAGCGTTGGGTTGATCCACAAACTCGTATAGGGTATCTGGACCTGGACCAGCTGGTTCTTCACTTGGACTAGTCGTGGTCAGTCCGGGTCCTTCTTCAGTTCTAGGTTCGTTTTGTTCATTGTCCAGTGATTCCTCAGTTTGGTCATGGCTTGTTTCAACGTTTTCATAGGAGTGATTTTCTTTGCGGAGGATTCCTATGTCTCCTTCATCATCTTGCCTCGGCTTTAATGAAAGGGCTTCATCAAAAATTATATGGATGCTTTCTTCCACACATTGAGTTCGTTTATTTAGAACTTTGTAAGCCTTGCTGTGAGTGGAATATCCGAGAAAGATTGCCTCGTCACTTCTTGCATCGAATTATCCAATATTGTCCTTCCCATTATTGTGGACGAAACATTTGCATCCAAATGTTCTTAGATGACTGATGTTTGGTTTTCTTCCTTTGAGTAGTTCGTAGGGTGTCTTTCCTAGGAGTGGGCGGATCATAGCTCGGTTAATTATGTAGCACGCTGTGTTAAGTGCTTCTGCCCAGAAGTTTCTTTCCAGACCACTAGAAATCAACATTGTTCTAGTCATATCCTCCAGTGTCCTATTCTTCCGTTCTACTACCCCATTTTGTTGAGGAGTTCTAGGAGCGGAGAAGTCGTGGTCTATGCCTCGTTCTTTGCAGAATTCCTCAAATAGTGAGTTGTCAAACTCGGTTCCATGATCGGATCGAATCTTAATTAGGTGCAACCCTGTTTGATGCTCAATTTTCCTTACAAAAACAACAAACTCATTAAACGTATCTTTCTTACTTGCAAGAAAGATAGTCCATGTAAATCGTGAAAAGTCATCAACTATAACTAACACATATTCTTTGTTTCCCCGACTTCGGACTGACATTGGACCACACAAATCCATATGAATTAGTTCAATGGGCTTGCTTGTGCTCACAAAATTCTTTGTTTTAATAGATGATCGAGATTGTTTTCCGGTGGCACAGGCAGAGCAAATATGATCAAGGGAATATTTGATTTTAGGTAGCCCGACTACCAATTCATTATTTTTGAGTTTATTGATTAACGAAAAACTAGCGTGGCCCAATCTTTTATGCCAGAGTAAGGGATCATTGTCAATAACGCTTAGGCAGGTTAAACTTATACTTGGCAATAAGTCGAGTTCAACTTTATATGTATTTTCAAGTCTCTTGCCTTCTAGTATGACTTGCTGAGATTCGTTATTGACAATGCGGCATACATTATGATAAAAAACTACACTGTTACCTCGATCGCAAAACTGAGAAATGCTAAGCAGATTAAACTTTAGACCCTTGACTAGGAAAACATTGTCTATTGCATGGTCGGGTGACTTTCCAATTTTCCCCACAGCAATGATTTCTCCTTTGCTGTTGTCTCCAAATGTCACCTTTCCACCACTAAATGGCCGTAGTGATAGGAACAAAGATTTATCTCCGGTCATGTGTTTAGGACAACCACTGTCAAGGAACCAGTGATTGTTCCCCCTCACTCGGCGCTGTTCCAGGATTAAGGTTTAGTGCGTGGAACCCAGACCTGCTTGGGTTCCATTTTATATTGGTTTGAGGACAATTTACTGAAATTAAGGCTTCTCTCTAAGGCCTGTTGTCGAGAGTGACATTGATACATAAGATGTCCGTCTTTGCCACAATGTCCCCAAATCCGGCTGTCATATGTATCAACATATTTGGTTTTCCGATTTCCGAAAAGATCTTTGCCCCTTTTATAAAATTCCCGGTTAGGTGTTTGACCATAACCTGTTTTGTGCCTTTGAACCAGCTTATCGAACCAGGTTGGTCCAGTTCTAGGTTGTCTATGGTACGGTCTAGAACTGGTTTGTCCTCTAGTTCTATTACCATAAAAGGGTTGGTTCTGAAAACTCGGTTTTTGATTTATCTGAGAATTTCTTGGAATGTATCCGAGACCAGCAGTCTCGTTTTCCTTTCTTTTGTACCGAGAGGGTCCAGTTCTAGAATGCTGTCTAGACCTGGTTCTTACCTTGGTACTATATGGTTGGTATTCCGGTTTGTTTTTAAAATCCTGTCTCTCGTCCTCAAGGCGATTGAGATGATTAATGAGCAAGGCAATGTCCGGAATTTTTCTTAGAAGTTTTTCTTCGTCATTAACTTGTTTATTCTTATTATCGAGCTTGAGTGAGCAAATGAGGTTATCTTGTTCCAAAACCACTTCACTATACTTGAGCCTTTCATCTATTAACTCTCCCACTTTTGTTTCCAGCCTTATCTTGGCTCTAGTGGCTTCCTCGAGTTTAGACTCAAGTTCGGTGATTTGTGATTTAAGATTATCGTTTTCAGAAAGACTTTGATTTAGTTCGATAGTTAATATTTTAAAAATCTTTCGGACCTTGCCTTTAGAGAGGGAATCAAATTTAGAAAGAAAGCTCTCCAAATTTACCTCGAAATTCTCTTGGTCGGATTCTACATCGGAATTAGCCATGAGGCATAATCCTGCATGATTTAGGCCTTTTTCTTCTTCTTCTTCTTCATCATCGGATGAGTCTCCCTAGGCTGCCATCATTGCCTTTTTGAGGTCTTTGTTGAACCCTTTATCTTCACTGGACCTCCGATGGGAACTGGTCTTGTTCTTGTCGTAGGCTCTATCATTTTTCTTTTGAGAATAATCTTTTGCCCTGTGCTCAAAGGAACCACAAACGAAACAACCTTGGTTATTAAAAGATTGGAAACCCATTTTACCTTGTTTATTTCGGTTGTCTTTGAATTTTCGGTACATCTTTCCGAATTGCTTGGCGAACATGCTCATTTCATCTTCCGATTCACTTCTGGATTCTTCTTCTTCTTCTCGAGCCTTGAGAGCTATTCCTCGCTCTTTTCTCACATTTTATGCATCTTGTTCTTCTTGTAGGCCTAACTCATATGTCATGAGTGAGCCGGTCAAGTCTTCTAGCGTCATAGTAGAGAGATCTTTAGCTTCTTCTATTGCTGTAGTTTTAGGCTTCCATGCGGATGTCAAGCTTCTCATAACTTTTCTCACCTGATCTTCTACAGTAATGTATTTTCCAAGTGCTGAGAGCTCATTAATAATATTAGTAAAACGTGTAATCATATCCCTAATTGATTCTTTAGGCTTCATCACGAATAATTCGTAATTACGCATAAATATGTCAATTTTGGATCTTTTTACACGCGAGGTACCCTCATGCGTAATCTCAAGTAAATCCCACATTTGTTTTGCGGATTTGCATCCAAGAACACGGTTGTGCTCAGTCGGACCAAGTCCACAAATCAAATATTTCAATGCTTGAGCATTATGCTCGAGTTTACAATAATCATCAGAGGTGTATTCAGATTTGGGTTTAGGGATAACCTTACCTTCGACATCTTCCTTAGTAATGATGTTATCGCCTACCTCAATTACGTTCCATACCTGGTAGTTCTCAGCCTTGATGAAGTTCTCCATTCGACTCTTCCAGAATTGATAAAATTTGCCGTTGAACAACGGTGGTCGTTGAGTCGAGTATCCTTCCTCCAATTGTTCAACCGTATTCATGCTGCCGGATCTCTTCCCAAGGTTTTAACCTTTCTGTGGTGAAGACCGGCTTTGATACCAATTGATGAAACGGTTAGCAACACAAGAGGGGGGGGGGGGGGGGGGGGGGGGTGAATTGTGTGTGTGTGGAACCGTGGCAGTTTTTCGCACAGTTCTAGTGTGGGGTTCAGGGAATTACGAAATAATAAAGTGCACAAGGATTTAACGAGGAAAAATCCCTTGGCTCAAAGGGATTAAAAAACCTCGACCTCCCTCGGAGGAATTTGAACAACTTCACTAAAAAGCCTTTGAATGATTACAAGGGAAACTCTCCTAGTCTACCCTTGAGCCACCCCAAATCTATCCTCTCTAGGAAGAGTTATGCTTCTCTACCTTGTGGGTAGAGAGCCTCTCAGCTTTACAACAAAGCTCTCACAACACACTAATTAACCCGAGGATGCTACACTTAGTCAATCCTTAAAAACCCAATTACAATATGAAGAAGGGAAAAAGAAACTCTGTTTGGAACTCCGTGAGCAGGTTCAGGTGCCTTGGACTTAGTAAATATTCTCGTGTATGTTTCTCAATAGAAGCTCGTTCAAGCACACCCTTTCGTCTGGTCTTCAGTCCAATATATATAGCATCCGTAGCCTCTCCTTTCCTTTTATTCAAAGATCTTCCGGCTCACAAATATGGTGATCCTCGGTCAACTATATATATATGGAAGCAAGTGGATACGTGCATACTATGAGTAAATCACTCAATAACAAAACATATATGGAGTATATTACGTATTTAAATATTCAATGACAATTCCACATGAATATATATCATCACATATAAAGGGAAATACTTTATTCTCTTAATATAAGCATGCAACGGACATTATGTAGCAATAAAATATTTATACAATCAATGATTAGTTCTCTTAACAAATTTGAATATGCAACGATTATATAAGTAAGATATTCAAATAAGGTGTTACAGATCATGCAAGCCAATATACTTTCCAAAAGTATTCATTTAATATTTTAACTAATAATGATTTTTCAACATTAAGTGATAAGGAAATATTTACTTAGTGGATCCAAATATGCTACAGTCAATTGATACAGGATATTTATGTAGCATAAGCAATGATTCTTTCCATAAGCTATAAAGCTATATAGGCCAACTCATTAAAGTGAGTGCTTAGTCATGTATGGAAAGATATTTAAATTGTGCCACATACATTAAGAATATGCATGATCAATCTAGGCACGTAGATAAGATATTTAAGCAATGATTCTTTCCATACTTAGTCACATAGATCAGAACTAAGTATAGTTCTAATTTTCGTTCCTAATAGAACTGAGAGCAGTTCTGTCCGCCGTTCCACCTACATGGTTAGTCATCAACAAAACAACATACTCAACACAGTTCCTCTACTCTTATTAGTACTTTTATTTCTCTTCTAGGGGAATATTTTGCTATGAAAGATTTAGGGGATATTCATTTTTTCTTGGGGGTTCAGGCTGTGCGGAATTCTTCTGGTTTATTTTTGTCTCAGGCCAAATATGTGTCAGATCTTCTCATCCGGTTTCATCTTCATACACTTAAATCTGTTCGCACGCCTTTACCTACTAGAACCAAGCTATCTCTCACTGATGGTGAGTTACTTGCTGATCCTACTGAGTACCGTAACATGGTAGGTGCATTGCAGTATTTAACTATGACTAGACCTGATATTACATATGTTGTTCACTTGGTGTCTCAATTTATGCATGCTCCTCGTACCTCACACATGTTAGCTGTTAAGAGAATTTTCAGGTATCTACAGGGCACTAAAACTCATGGTCTACATCTCCAACCATCGCCGCACCCACACTCGGTTCTGGCATACTCCGATGCTGATTGGGCTGGTTGTCCTGATAGTAGTCGTACCACGTCTGGCTATGCTGTTTTTTTTTGTCCTAATTTGATTTCATGGCGGTCCAAGAAACAGCCTACTGTCTCCCGCTCATCTACTGAGCCTGAGTATAGAGCCATTGCCTACACAGTTCAGGATACATTACACATTCGGTCCATTTTATTTGAGCTCGGCTTTCCGCTTTCTCGCGCAGTTTGGTTGCTATGTGATAATGTATCTGCTTCATATTTATCTGCTAATCCCATCCAGCATGCTCGCAGTAAGCACATTGACATTAATTATCATTTTGTTCGCGAACGTGTGGCTCATGGTGATCTCCTGGTGCAGTATGTTCCTACGAAGTTTCAGTTAGCTGACATCTTCACCAAAAATTTGGCTCCTCAGCGGTTCTTATTTTTACGAGACAATCTACGCATAGTTCCTCCTGCATAGATTGAGGGGGTGTAATAGTGAAATAATTAGAAATTAATTATTAGTCAGTTTCCTTATTGTACTTGGACACTTATTACCTATAAATATACTCTCAGGGCTACCAGTCTGGAAAAAGCATGTTCATTATTCTCACTCTTTGCACTTGGCAAAGTCCACCGGGACAGAGGTAAAAGAAAATGGGTTTGCAAACTCTACCAGGCTTCAACAGTTTGACTCGTTTTCAACAGTTTAATTTAACAGAAAGTAAAAGAAAAACGATGCATTGGAATGGATATTGAATTGAATAATGACTCTGTCGGATATCCCGACAGTAACTATACCGTTTACAAGGAGTCAATAATACGAAGTATTGAACTTAAAATGCAAGTCTTGATTGACTGTGGACATGTGGTTTATTATAATTGACTATTGAGCATGGATTAAGGATATTTATGTTGAACAAACTGGTCAAGTGTATTGAAACTAGTTATATTTTTCATTCATTCATTGTGGCAGAAAATTTCGTTTCATTTGCAAATATTTCAGACTATTTTTGAGCATTTTTTTCTACATTTAATAAAAATTTAGTGTTTAGGTCCAAAATCAATTTCAATTCCAGTTATGTTATTCTCATTTGAAATTGTATATTTAAATGTATGTGTATCTCTACATTAGGCCATTCAATATCAGCATGTCTGCAATTAGCTCTCATAGAATATTGCCTTTTAAACACTCACAAATGACAAATGTACCAAAACCACCATTGTGAAACCCACAACTTGCTAGGGGATGTAGCTCACTTAATGAGAAGAAGGTTCCACAAGTGAGAAGTCTCAACTTCAAACAAAGATTTGGTTGGAATCTCACTCTATTTCCATCAATGTATGATCAAAGCTCAATTTATATATTAACAAGTAACTGTCCAGCCGGTTTTAATGAGGCCTTAGGTAGGGACAGAGTCTGGGTGGGGGATCAGTTGGTCTTGAAAAGTTGAGAATATAGAGCATTAAAATACATTCAATTTGATATATTATGGCTCTCGTAACTCATTACATACAAAAAATTATAGCTTCTTGAAAATTAACGGTGTAAACTTGAAATGAGTAAAACTTGGTGTCTAATATTAATTATGTTCTCAAATTTTAAAAATAATCTCTAAATAACTCATTATTTAGTGAAGTTTATAATGTATATTATGTACTATTCTCCGTACCACATTAATTGCAACATTGAAATATATACACTATTCATGTACTTTACTTTGACTACATTTTATTTATTAATGTATGTGAATTAATTTTTTTGAAAAATATTGTTAAATTCGTCTCATTACTAAGTTTTATAATCTGATTTTTATTTTATTTTTACTAATACAGAATTAAATATAATGACGGTCAAAGTTATGCGTTGGCAAACGTGAAATGTTGACCGTTGCAACTAAAAAGAGACGGAGGAAGTATATATCAACACTATAACTCTATTATTTTCAATTAAACTATCATTTATCTAAGATACATATGAAATATTTAACTCAAGCATCGTTTAAATAAAAATGATCCACTCTTTTCATATTTAATTAACTCAATCATTTTTCTAGCTCCGCTACTAGTCCACTACCCTAGTGGTGGACTCGGTTCGGGCCTTGAACCGGCCGGGCCTCGGTTCACGGAAGGCAGGCCCGGAACTGGCCCGGATAACCCCGGGTCCGGTTCGGTTCAGGTCACCCGCCCGGTTCACGGGCCGGGCCGCCCGCCGGGCCGGGCCTTTTAATTTTTTTTATTATATATTATATTATTAGAATAATTCTTATTACAATTACAATATATTATATTCTAATTCAAGTATATTTATTTCAAATAAGAAGTACAATTGAGAATTAGGATGAATTTAAAAAATGTAATACATTTTGTAATAAAAAATCATTCGGAATCTATATATTATATAATGTGTAAATATATTATAATATGAATGTGTATAAGTATATATTTATAAGTAAATAATTAATATATAAGTAGATATAATAATTATATAAATTATATATATGTAGAAAGAATTTGGAGAAGATGAAGAATGAAGATGATTGAATATGAGAGATTGAGAGAATAGAGAATTTAGAGAGTAGGAAGAGTTGTAGAAGAAGAGGTAAAAAATGTATAGAAAATAGGAGTATAAATAGGTTTTTTTTTTGTATACCCCACCCCACCCCGACCCCACCCCCCTAACCCCCCAGACCCCCCCTCCTATGCTCCCAACAGCTATGGAGCCTTTAAGTATTTAAAAATAAATAAAAAAATATGACCGTTGCGGCCCGGCCAGGCCGGTTCACTAAAATGCAGGCCCGGGACCGAACCGCTAGAAGACCGGGCCGGGTGGCCCGAACCAGGAACCAACCGGTTCACCGGGCCGGTCCAGGCCCGCACAGTAGCGGGCCGGTCCGGTTCCGGGCCAATTGGCCCAGCCCGAGTCCATCCCTACACTACCCTAAAGAATGGAGCGTTATCAATTTTTTTTTTCTCGAAACCCACAAATCCTAAAAGATAGGGAAAATATACTTGACGTGAGACCTGTATGGTGAATAATGGAACGTTACTCACTACGTCAATCAAATATTGGTTTAGTGAGGCACTCATGAGTCATGACCACAATGAATCCAAAGCACCATTTGAGCTGACTGAAACACACATTAAATACGAGGCATACCCAAAGGCTAGACTCTAACCAAGAACAAACAAGGAAATTGGGCATTCTTTGTAAGATTCAGTCCTATACGAACCTTTCGAGGGAAAGGGTAACACTGGTCTATTGCCCGTTGACAATGGGCTGTTAAAAAATAGGATGGAAGCCTTTAAAAATACCATACCATTACTTGTACATTTCCTTCATCAACTCTTGGCATGTTTCATCAAAATCAACAATAGCTGAACATTCATGGATGTGTTAAACACTACAACTAAGGGTGGTAATTCAGTTCCCAGTTTCCTTGATAACCAACAATATGTATTTCCGCCTTATCGTTGGCATGGAAAGGCCCTATTTGCTGTGGAATTATACAAACAATACCACCGCCACCATCAATTCTGTACATAAACAAAAATTCCTGCTCGATTCATATCCTCCCCTCATCAGCTAGGAAGCCTCCTTTCGTATGCGAGTTTTAGTATTGAACCCTACCATCACCTCATTCTCCAATGACCTCCCACTACATCTTTGATATTTTGGCGATGTGCCAGACAAAAATCTGCTGCTCCGGCTGCCCACATCATGCCCCAGGGTTGACATGTGAGCTGTTTCCATTATAAGGTCCCCTTCAAGAATCCGAAGCACCTGAGAGTATAAAAATCACACATTAGAACCCATGCTTGGCTTTTTTGGTTGCGGTTCGAAATGAGAAGTGGACTGACATACCTGAGACATTCTTGGCCTCAAATGGGGGTCCCTCCGTATGCACAAGGATGCAGCATGCAACATACAATGGACTTCTTGTTTGTCATAACAGTTATGTATCCTTGGATCTATTAATTCTTCAATCGCATATTGTTCCAACAACGGGCGTGCCTGTATGTTACAAGTCAAAGACAGAGAAGGGTAAGTAAACAAAAAGGAAACCCCATATATTCTGTCAGTTCATGGAATGTATTTTGGGCTAATTATGTCTACATCCACCAATGTTGGATCAAATTACTAAATTTTCCTCAAGGTTTTAGAAAATATAGTGACTTAAACCGATAAGTATACCGCAAAAGGAACATGAAGATGATAGGATATAATGATAATAGTCGGAATTGAGCTTTTGTAGAACAAAATCCCCCCTTCGCCGCGAAGATTACTTTTGACAGCGTGTTTAAGTGTCCAACCCTAGAGATTGGTAATTTGTCCACTTTGAGTATACTCAGGAGTCAACAACATCAGGCACATGCACATTAAGTATGAGGATCACAACTTTTAAGAATCTTTTGGAGTCAGTCTCAATTTAATTTAGTCGGAGATAGCCCTTTGTCAGGAATTTCGGGATGCTTAAGAGAATGCTGCTGCTGCATCGGAATTTGGTCAAATTAGGTTATTTGGTACTCATGGTTTCATGTCCGTTTAGCCTATTTATCCACCTCTCAAAGCCACCCATCCCAATTTGGCTTGTAAAGACGTGTTAAGTGTCCAACATCATATGCTTACTATATTTATATTTAATCTATAAGTAACACAAACCTAACATGTTATGAACCTTTTTACATTAATTACGTTCAATTTAATAAAATGCTTTAAAAAGTCATTTGCGGAAGCCTGATCATGTGGCTTAAATTTGATTTTTAGAAACCTCTAGTTCATTTGATGATTTGACTGAAACTAGTACAGGTAAATGTAATTGCCCATTGTGTTTTTGGAATGTGTGTCATAGAAACAAACCCATTCGACAAGGCACTGCTGCCCCTTGGGTCTGTTGAGATCCACTGCTTTTCGGCCAGTTACAAGCTCTACAAGTACCACTCCAAATGAGTAGACATCAGCCTTTTCTGTTATCTGTCCACTTTGAGTATACTCAGGAGCCAAGTACCTACAAAGAATTAGCATTCCATTAATTGTTAGTATACGAAATCTTACTACAGTACTGCACTGACAAACACTTCTAAGCACTGACCCAAATGTTCCAATTACTCGTGTTTCAACGCCCATGTCTCCGTCAGGTTGCCACCTGGCTAAGCCAAAGTCCCCGACCTTGAACAGAATAGAACAATTATTTATACATGCAATATATGTATAGATCTTTAGAATTCTTCTAGATAAATGCACAAACATCAGAGATAGCAAAAAATTTTACCGGATGGAGTCCTGAATATATGTTAGGGGTGTCTGCCAGTTTTGGTTGGTTTGTTTTGAAAATTTCTAAATGGAAAGAAGAACCAAATAACTTTAGTCAGTTTAAGCCGGTTTTTATTGTCAACTTTGATCAGCTTTTGTCACTTTGGGTCTTTTTTGGTTTATTCCAGTTATGAGAAATACAAAACCGATGATGTAACTGAAGAAATTAAGTTGGTTTCAACCAGTCTCGTTGTTGTCAATTTCAGTGGGATTTTGTCAGTTTCAGGTCTTTTTTGGTTTGTTTCGGCCAGTTGGGTTTTGAGAAATGCTTCGATTGGGTTTCGTTGACTTCTAGACATGTTTGGTTCATTTCATTCAGATTGGGTAAGGTCAATCCGGTTCTGAAATGAAAATCCAGAAACACAACTGAATAACTACTATCTGTTTCGACCAGTTTCAATAAGTTTCATTCAATTTTTATAGGCTTATGATCATATATTCATATTTGGTTCAATTTTCAAATCCTAAACCAGAAAATCGTACAAACTACAACTGCACAAAAACACAACAGCCAATCACTAATATTAACAAATAAGATGTACTTATTGCATACCAGAGGTTCAAAGTCATGGGTGATGAGAATGTTGTTAGGACGCATGTCTCGATGAACAATGCATCCCACTCTACACTCCTCATGAAGGTACCGCAATCCTCTTGCCGCCCCAACTGCAGTTTTTTGGCGAGCAGACCATTTTAAGGGATCCCTATTACGTCCTGCATGAAACAAGGAAAGGTAGCAATAATTAATCAAATACTGTAAACCTTGTTTGTGTTTAGGACTCTTCGTAATAGTCTTACCTATCTCAACTTTCAAAGTGTAATGTGCACATATTGTACTCTTTGACATTTTTTTTTGAATTTATGCCATTCATATGAAGGAGTGGATTTCTCCGAGTGCAAATAAGAAAACTCATCAACTCTAAGAAATGTAGTACTTACTCTGCACCCCCTCGCCTAGAAAAAGGAATCATATTTATAACACTATTGTTAGTATTAGAAGAAAGATTCCACTTGCTAGACGGAGGTCGTAAAGCACATATCCACCTAAAACTGAAGTAACTACAGAACCAAAACAAACTCACAAGTCATAACCTAACCATATACTCACCCTGTCCCCCATATTAAGGTTCTTGTTTAAGTTTACGATGTTGGACTTGAAACATTTCAATTCAAGACCCAAAATAAGAATCTCAAACATGAAAACCATCAGTGCAAGACCTGAATAATTGAAAACCATCAATCTAAGACTTTAAGTATCATAATTTTGATTACTCAATTTTTTTATTTTCTTTTATGTTTATTACCAGTGCATTTTTCCTTCACAAAATTACAAATTTTAATACATTACACAAAAGATGAATTTATTAGAACATAAAATCAAAATTTATTATACTTTAAAGTCTTAGATTGATAGTTTTCAATCATTCAGGCCCTATATTTATTGTTTTCAACTTCAGCTCCCTGATTTATAGCTAGTATTCTCTTCGACTTGATTGAAAATTTCCAACATTCCCTAAAAACATTGAATTTAGTATTAATAATAAAATTTGCATATTTAAAACTACATCAACACTTCTCCTGAATCGCAACAACCAAATTTGAATATGATGTAATTTTGATATACAAGATCAAATAAAAAAGAGTCAAATTGACCATATAAATCATAAGAATCTTATTTGGGCAAAGGTAGTATGTGCTACTGCATGAAGCATCTCAACCCTATAAAGTGGCACTGTCTTATTGAAGAAGAGATATATCATACCATAAAGATGGGAATCTAATGATCCATTGCAGATATACTCATAGACCAACAATCTTCTGCTATCTTCTATACAGAACCCAATCAGCATAACAACATTACGGTGTTGAGCACAGCTAAGAACTTCAACTTCTGAGCAAAACTCCTGATCCCCTTGAGAGCTTGCCAATTTATGCTGCTTCACAGCAACTACCTGTCCGTCTGAGAGAACTCCTTTATGAACAGATCCAAACCCACCCTCAGCCAAAAAATTAGATTGGGAAAATCCACATGTTGCCATCTCCAGCTCAGAATAGCTGAACCACTTGGGAGGTTTCCCAAAGACAGGCGCTTTATGTTGGCAGATAGAACACAACGGAGGAGAGCCAAGTGGCACACTTTTGGATAATGAAACTGCTTCTCTTACACTTCCACTGAAGTCCATGTCATGGTTAACTTCTTCATTGAGTTTGGAGAACTTATCAGACATTGCCTTTGATGTTGGAGTTTGAGCAAGTCTAGTAGAGTGCGGGCTGACAATGTCTGACATCCATGGCGGAAACCTTAAACTAGAGCAAGTGGACAAAATTTCATTATCACTGTCTGAGCTTGACTCACTGCCATTTTGGGCATCATTTTTTGCTAACGATTCTTCTTTCTTCATATCTCTGCTTACTTCAGCATTGAAAAACGGAGAAGTTCCAGGTTCAGAACTGGAAACAGAGGATGTACCAACCTCAGTTGCAGTGAAGATCTCTGGACTACTTGTTGGAGTAACAAGTTGACCACAGGTTGAATCTAATGAATTGTTCTTCCGCACTTCATGTTTTTCACACACTTCAGATTTCTTCTCTGTAGTAGATATCGAAATGGGAGCATCGGTTTCCTTTTTGGGTGATCCGACTAAATTAAGGCGAAGAACTTTCGGATGGGATCGCTTCATAACTACAATATTGCAATGCAGTTCTTCCATACATCGCTTTTCCTCATGCTTCAGGTGTCTGAAAGTTAATTAAAGAAGATTTGTTCAAAAAACATGGGAAAAAGTGGTATCACTTTTTTTTGCTCCGCTTGGAATGTAAAAGATGGTAGGGAAAGAAAACGATATGCTAAAGGGAATAGCTTTTACTGATTTGGTTTTATCATGGAAAGCACAAAAGAAAATTGAAATTTAATTAAAAAAATAAATCTTTTATATACATTTATTGTGTTTATGTAATATATATAGATGGTCCCACTCAAGTCGGGCGGCCCTGATGGGTTTTGCATCATGAGCACTCCATTTTTGGCCAACCAACAATCCAATGACCCCGACTTTTTCACTCATTAGCTTTAACTATTAATTTTAACGAATTAATTCCACTTTTGATCCTACAAGTTTTATGTCAATTCCATATTTAGTCCACTATTAATTTTAACTATTGTTTTTGGCCATTTTCGGCAAAAAACAATAGCCATGTACCAAAAGTGGTTAAAGTCAAAGACATGGACTAATTGTGGAATTGGTGTGATACACATAGGACCAAAAGTGGAATTTATTCTAATTTTAACCATTGAATTTTCAATTTCGGCAAAGATAGACGCTACAAATTTTATAAAAATGAGTTTGGAAAAAATCTAAAATTGTTTTATCGAGTTTCAACATTACTTGAATTTCCCAAGTTTTGTTTCCTTCTACATTTCCCATCTATTTCCCTTCCTTGGCATTTCCAAGGTTTCAAACGGGCCCTTAATAACTTGAACAGAGAATCATTCAACATAGTAAAGAATGAAATTATTACTTTTCCAGAACAACCCAATTAGCATGGATCCTCCTTGCCTCATTGGCCACAACCCCACACTGTGTACCAGAAACAATTTTGATTTTCACATTTACCTGCCAGGAAAAACAATGGGGGTAAAAACCAAGTCAATAGTAAAATGTGGTACGCATGCAGGTCTTTAATGAAAGAGCCAAGGCATTGATGTGAAAATTAAAGAAACCTTGTTGGGGTCATAAACATTATGGAGTTGAAGTATCATCTGGGAGCAAGAATCAGTTATGTCAGATTTTTCTTCAGAATTAGCTCCAGAGTGTGACTTTCTATGGCCACTGGCGCAGTCTCCAGCAAACCTTGGGAACCCCCATTTTCTACCTACAGAGTTTTTTACGGAAGGAAAAATGTTAAACTGTTACAAATGAAAATTAGTTATTGAAAGCAATTTGAGAGAAACAACAAGAACAGAATGGGGCCAATAAGAGTTGACTATTTTTGTCTTTACATTAAAAGGGAAAGGACCAGTCTAACATTATAAATTTTAAGGTAGGTTCATATAATTGAGTATAATTAAGAGAAAAAAAGTTTTCTTTGACAGAGTTACGTTAAAGTACGGTGTCCATAAGAAAAAGGAACTATGGAGCAGACACATGATCTTTTTTAAGCAGAACCTTGGTGGCAACATTTTTCGTAAAAATCATTTTAGCCTTTTAAGTGTAGTTTCTTTTCATTTATCAGTAAAACATACTTATTTCACTACTTTAACTTCATTAAAATTGGCCACAATTTAAGTAACTTAAGCTAAATCACCTGTATCAAAAGGTTTCTTAGTTTTCAGTTTTCACTATGGCAGATAAAAAAAGATTAAATGAGAGGGTTTGTGTGCCAAGGAAAATCACATAAGTAAAAATAAAATAGATAATTACCAGAAGTGCTAGAAGGGACAACTACAAGAAGTGTAATGCAATCGCCAGGTTGAACCACATGTGTTAAAGCCCAAACAAGAGCAGATTTGGGTATTTCTTTTGATGCCTTCACAGCAACCATGACCTTCTCTGCAACAGCATCCGAACCTTTACCAGGTTTTCCCTTCACTTCCAGGTGATTACTCATTGTTGCTTAAAGAATGTCACCAATTTCCAACTCTTCAACCCAATCAGCTGGCGAAACAAACATAAATACAGAACCAATTAAGCAACTTTTGCGTATTTTTATAAGAAAACAGTAAAAAGAAAGACTGAAAAGGAAGCTAAAAAGTAATCTTCCTTTTGAAGACCAGCACAATCAGGTTAAGAAATTCAAATTTGCTTCTTTTCGTTTCCTTCATTAATTTTTAGAAATAGATTATTATCATTGGAAGGTAGCTTACGAATAAACTCATAAACAGTAACTTATTGTGCAATATCAATAAATTATACGGAGTATAAGGGAAAAAAAGATGCAAAATGATATTTTCCCCTTTTCGCCTTTCTACAATCAAACCAATCAGTCAAAAGATTGTTGAGAAGAAGCCCCAGAAGATGAGCTGTGTCCCGGATAGAGAAATTGGACACTATTCCCCTTTTGGGCTATCATTATCCAAAAAGGGAATCTCGTCATCATCGCCTTCCAAAAAATAAAAAACTCCTATAAAGCAGTACCTAATCCCCCAGAAATGCTAAAGAAGCCAACAAATCTTTGAAATGACTCAAAAGTTGAACCCAGACCACATCAGATATCAAAATATTTTCTGTTACCCACACCTGAAAGCTTGCAAGATTCCAAAATCACACGAGCAGAATAACATTACCATATTGGAAATCCAGAAAAGAAAAGAAAAAATATAAAAATTAAACAAACAAACTAATCTGGAGTCACTCATATGGAAATGATCTGAAAAATGAAGAGGCATAATGTGTTGTAGCATATGTTTTGTCAGCGAAAGAGCTGAAGAAAAGCATCTAGTCTAGAAAAGAACAAAAAGGAAACGAGAAATCAGGCTAGGAACATTTAACAAAAAAAGATTTAGAACTGCGGGAAATTGAAGCTGAAAAGGTGCAACAAAAAGATGGGTCTAAAATAACTGGGTTGAAGAAAATGGCTGAATCCGTGGGAATCACGCAGTATAATCTACTTCGTATTTCGCATCACTACAGCTAGAAAACATAAAGATTCCTAAACGAGCAAAGGGAGAAAAGTGTGGGATGACGAGAAGGAAGAAGAGAGAGGGAAGGAAGCCATGAAAGTTCAAGAAAACCTTGGAAAAACAATGGACCTGAAATGGGAGTGTGGGCAGTTGGGGATGAATGAATTATTTCCAGTATTGTGAAAAAAGAGACTGGAATGAAAGTGAGAGGGCAACAAATGGGTGGGTGGGGGTGGGGGTATGGGTCGATACACAAAAACACGAAACACCTCACCAATCTGTGCAGGTGGGTTAATGTGGGGAGAGGGGTGGACTGCGACTGGACGGCTGCTCCTCGTTTCAAATTACTGCTCCTACAGAACGCTCTGAATCTTCTTTTCAGGGGAGAGAGACTTGTTCTTTTTCCAGAATTTTCATTTTTTCTTACTGTGCATGCCTTTGATTCGCAATAGTAGTCTTCCTCGATGCATATTTTAGGCTATTCTTTGTACAAGTATTGTAACGATGTTTCTCTGCTCTCTACCTTCGGCAGTAGAATATTTAATAGGAAAAATATCTTAATAATCCCGACTATTGTCGGTCCGCTTATAATAATCTCAACTATCGATTATCTCAGAATAATCCTAACTTTAGTGACCTTCCGCCAATAATGGTTCGACATGACCGGCTATAAATAAATTCTTATAGTTTCTAGTGTGGATGAGAAGAGATATAACAAGTAATCCCTATAAATAATTCGACTTTTAATTTTTACGCTTTAATTCTATTTAAAATCCACTTGTTATAGCAGGTCATATCTGGTCATGGACCATTATTGGCGGAAGGTCACTAAAGTTGGGATTATTCTGAGATAATCGATAGTTGGGATTATTATAAGCGGACCGCCAATAATTGGGATTATTACAATCAATTTTTCCTATTTAATATTACATGAGCTCTTTTGTGAGTTTTGTAAACATTTTTCTATTAATTGTCTTCACAATTTACTACTCCGTATAATTAAAAAAATAATAAATTTATATTTTAAAGTATTGTATATTCAAGCGATTCTGTCAATTTCAACGTGATTCAACCGACACTAATTACATGAAATAAAAAGCGAATAATGTAATTGTCCATATGAGATACGTCTTTGTTCTACTAACCACAACCCATTTTCTCTCGGTGCCCATAAATTTGTACACATTCCGCACACATTTATACATAATTATTTGTGTACACAAAGGTGTTGTATGAGTTGTCTGTGTACAAAGGTAACTTGAAGGCATACACAACGTTTATGTGCAAATGTGTACAAAATTCGTGTACAAATAGAATTTTCAACCATTTCTTTCAAACAAATTGCTGAAAATGGAAGTATAATATTAATTATGTTTTCTTCTTATAACACTCCCTCCATTTCCAAAAGAAAGTCACGGTTTGACTTCACGATTATTAAGGAAATAAATTGACTTTACTGTAGAAAACACTGTTTAGACACTGTTTGGCATTGTTTGGATGTAGATTTCTTTGCCAAATGAGGAAATAAGGGAAGTGTGATTTTGTTTTTGAAACATCTCAAAAAGGAAAGTGTGAGTTTCTTTTAGAAAAGGAGGGAGTATGATTTATTTAGACAATTTGGTTGTTGGGTTAATAGGCCCATTACCCCTTAGCAGATAAACCGCCAGGGCCCAATCTGGGCATGGTCCATCAAGGTGCCCGTCGGGCGATCGTGGTATCCGTCGAGTAGCTCGTCCCGAGTGGCCTTGGTCCAAAGGGTCAGACAGCATTTCATGACCTTCAACCAGACAACCTGAAAGAGTCGAGCGGATCCCGGTCCTTGCAGTCACCAGGATCCAGGGTCTAAACTCGAGGGACGCTCGTCCGGTGCCCTTGGCGAGAAACCAAGATGTTGGTGGGAAGCGCATTTAATGCAGTAGATTTGGGGTTGGTAAGCTAGCCACTCATAATCCTCCACCCCATCAACATCATCTACCCTTTGGTAGTATAAATAGTAGCATTTATTTCATTGTAAGGGGTTGACATGTAACACCGCCCCAAGTATTTGTACTTTATTAAATTATGTATTGAACCCTGAGAAATGAGTAAACGCATTTTACGTGATTGTAAATTTTTATCATTTCTTTTACGTGAATAGTAAAATTCGCATGGGGCCCACATCAGGAGTGATGGCCGCCCAATATTATCAGGACCATATATTATATTCATCTTGGCCTAGATAATATGTATGTGATGGTGGATATCCAATTTGGGCCGTGGCAAGGGTACAGGGTTGACCGGTTGGTCAGGCGAGGCCCGATTATCAGTATCGGCATTTTATCAGATAACAGCCCGAAAAGGGATTTCAGAGACTTCTAAATTAAAGTTGAGGAATGTATATCCATTATAAGGTCCAATAATGATGGAGAACACGTGTCATATTTTATTTGAACCGATAAAATAAAATATAATTAAAACAGTCTGAGAAATACAACTTTCTGGGCCGAGTGTACACGTCGGGACATAAAGGGATGACCTCCCACATAAGTGGGGGCCATCTCACGCTCGTAGCCTTGAAATTGGCTAGAAGAGCCGCACAATAGGAGGGGAAAGGGAGCAGGGCCTGATGGGAAGCCAAGAGCAATAAATTACATGGGACCCTCTCATGCTATCATTGAGAGAAATGCCAAGAGGGCTTTCTCAATCACCCCTTAGCCCATGTGCCCGACCATTCTATTCATTTTTGAGAGAGGAGCTCTGCAAATTATCACCTCCACCATTGTTAGTCGAACCGAGCTCAAAGGAGGTCCAAGAAGGAAGTTAAGGAGGATTAAAGAGAGGAAAAGTGTGAAGAATTAAGGTAATAACCTTATAACAACTTTTCCTTAAATTCTTATCTACCATACGACTCATATATCATATTAAGGACCCCTAGAATTGTTCTACATGTTTAGAGGTGTAGAATGAGGGGTTGGAAGGTAGTTCTAAGTCCAAGAACGAACTTAGAAGCTAAAGTGACCGGTTCACCAGAAAATGACCTTTTGAAGGTTATTTGTATCAATATGGGTTTTGTGATAATAGAACCTTGTTAGCGACTTGCCTAAGGTATTCCTAGAGTTTTCACGGAGTTGAAAGAGTCACCGGAATAATCGCCGGAGCTAGACAAAGTTTGCCGGAGTTTCACCGGAGTTCATCCGGGAGCGTATAACTTCTTAAAGGCTTCATTAAGGTGAGAAGACGGCTTTATGCTTTATAACTTTTGCGTGAGGCATGAGATTACCTAAAGTAATCAAGGATATGTTTTATGGAATGATTAAAGATAATCAAGTGTTTGCTTATGCCATGATTATACATAAAACATAGTTGAAAAACATGTTATGTAGGTTTGATGATTAAAAGTGTGATAACTTATTATGTATGATGTTCCAGGGATCCAAAATGGTGTTTTTGGATCAAGGACGTCAAGAAGTACATGTGTATAAAATTTCACGTTAATCGGACTTCGTTTGGGCGGTCAAACGGACGTTGACTGCCAAGACAAAGGTGATACCCGACCGGGTATGGGTAAATACCCGACCCGGTTTTGATTAAAATGGCTCCAGAAGCCACTGCCACACTAGACCCGACCGGGTATGGGTATAGACCCGACCGGGTCTCAAGTAAAGTTGGCTCCAGGGGCTACTGCCTCACCCTACCCGACCGGGCCGGGTAAAGTTGGATACCCGACCGGGTATTGGGTTATGCTCAAAACGGGCAGTTTTGAGTAGGTTAACGTGGGTCGTTCAGGTGGGACCCGTCCACGTTGGTTACGAAGGATGTTTATATGACTATAGGTCTAGGTATTGTCCATAGTTAAGGGAATGAAAGGTTATCCATATCCAAGTTAGGGTTTGGTAAGGAATAAGGTTGGGGTTGAGCATCCCCGGGACGGTAAATGATCCTGAAACTCGGTTGGGGTTGAGCATCCCCGGGACGGTAAATGATCCTGAAACTCGGTTGGGGTTGAGTGCCCTTGGACGGTAAATGATCCTAAATACTCCAGATTGGGTTGAGTGCCTTGGACGGTAAATGATCCTAAAACACTCGGTAGTATGAATCGAAGGTAGACTATAGCTTGTGAGCTAGGCATCCGGGAAAGGAGTGAGAAAAGTCAGGTGAGAACTTTATCTCTAAAAGACTCTTTAAATGAAATGACCTACGGATTGAGTATTTTACAAATATATATACAGTATGTATCATCGGGTGGATGAGTCACACACACACACACACACACACACACACACACACACACACACACATATATATATATATATATATATATATATATATGTGTATATATATATATATATATCACCCTATTTTTGGGTCTCGTGTCTGAAACATTAGTTATTTTTCATATAGCCTGCTTGTCACTAGTACTTCTATGGAGTACTGACCCCTCCGGGGGCCCTCACATTTTTCAGGTTAAGGCTAGAGTCCTACTACCTGCACCTTTGTCTAGGGTGACTGATCAAGAAGGAAGACGTGGTTCGTGCTTCCATTCTTATTTAAAATTTATAAACTGCTCATGGATATTTGAACAATGTTTTCCTTTAAATAGTTGGGGGCTTGCGTGCTCATGTTTGCCACGTGTGGCTAAATATCAAACATATTATTTCCGCATTCGGTTGATTATGATGTTGATGTTGATTGTATGAGTTTACTAATCGGTTTGGCAATAGAATCTATCAGACGCCTTGAATGATTCAATAAGGATTGACTAATGTTGTTCTTATTGGGTTGTACGGTGGTTGTCTACGTGGCTCGGATGCGGTCCGGGGCGTGACATGACAACTTATTCTCTCTAGCAAATAACAATTATCTTAGCTCTTAGCACTCAGATAGACGAATGACCACTCAACTAGTAGTTGAAGTATGTTGTATACGGATCTTTATTATCATTTAATAAGATACGGGTCACTTATTACTCTTGCTATTGAGCCATCTTACTTGCTTGCATCATACATTCATAAAACTCTCCATTCAAAACCCATTGGAAATGTGTTGGGCTTTTGGGCTGAAGGAATAAACCTCAACACTAGCGTCGTCAATGGGAAACTGATGAAAACGTCTTTCCAAAAACAAGCTCTCACCAAAAAGCAGATCCTTACGAACCCTACAAGCAAGCGAGATGGCAAGAAACAATTCTGGACATACTCAGGACCTTTCTAAGCAGATGGCAAGCAGCAGGAGAACTCGCACCCAGGCATCAGGTGCACAGTCCGGCCAGTAGCCTGTGGAGCCGCAGAGGCGATGGGGATGTCACTTATTTGATCCCCCTTGAAGAGAGAAGGGACCCTCGAGTCAAGAGGGAACTGGCGGAAACCATGCAACACATGGCGGATGAGCAGGATGCTGAACGAACCGTGTACACTGCGAAAACCGAGCGTACACCCTTTTCCCCCATCCCTTCCATGCAGCCGTTCTGGGAACGACCATGCGAGACCGTGTAATCTCACACATCGGTCCACACACGGATCAGTGGGACTCCCCACTCC